CAAAAGACTAAAAAAAAAAAATCAGAAAATAATGTACAAGCAAGAAAAAAAAATCTGGTCAGGTCTTCAGCTATTATAAGGTAGTGAAACTTCAGTAGAGCTGCACAGACTTATACCCGTCAAGGAATTCACTGTAAATAATATCTGGCACCACGTGCATGTGGAATAAACCATGCAATGACATCGGAAAGCAATAAACTGTTGCTTTTTTACTGTGTGTTTGTAGGTGCAGACTCACCTTGAAAACCCAACCAAGTACCACATTCAGCAAGCCCAGCGGCAGCAGGTGAAGCAGTATCTTTCTACCACTCTTGCAAATAAACATGCCAACCAAGCTCTGAGCTTGCCCTGCCCAAATCAGCCTGGTGATCATGTCATGCCATCTGGAACGGGAAGCAGCGCACCCAACAGTCCGATGGCTATGCTCACGCTTAACTCCAACTGTGAAAAAGAGGTAACGTAGCCTATTATGATAGTAATCGTTTCCCTCTTATGAAAGCTGAGATTCACTCTTGATCTTTATTTTCTATTCTGAAGTCCTGGCTTGAATCCATAGTTGCCAGTGATGTGCATATAGTTTTATCTAAAATATTTGGGGTGGAAAAAAATTTGTGTCCTAGTTCAGCCGTGTTTCTCTGAGCTACTTTTAGTCCGCTTACACGTCTTAAAGGCTTTTCTGTGCTTGGTCAGCACAAAAAGGAGCGGGTAATTGACCTTTGGAGAGTACAAAGCCATTTTTGTATGCTGTAACTTTCTGGAATAATGTTTTCGTGGCTCATTCATAGTATAAAAAGCAAAGCAGAATAAATGGAAAAAAATCAGAAACCGCAAACCATTGTTAGGATTTTTTGCAGGAAAATAAAGTTAAGTAGATCTGTCACTTAAGTAGGACTCCCAAGTGACACTTTTTTTGATAAATTTTTAAAAATATTGCTGGTTGCCATTTTGGTTGCAGCCCCCGTTCATACACATTCAGAATTTCACTTGTATGCCCCTTGCAGCTCTCAGGACCATGCGTTCACATGTGCAGCCCGCAATTCCCTTGACTGGGGAGTGCTGATGCCAATGCTTATGATTGGATAGTCTCACATCTGCATCCAGAGTGTGTGCACACATGTAAATGTTGGTGTGCCAAAGGCCAATGTATCAACATTTATTCTGTTCTCCTCCTTTTTAGGATGGAAAAAAAAATGTAATGGCCATGTCTTTTCAGACCTGACTTCAGTTCTAGGGTTATTCTTATGCAAGCCAAGAAAGCAGAGCTGTTCGTTCTTTCTTTTGCTCTGTACTGTTTCAGTGCTTCAAAACAAAGGGAACTTTAAATAGACCTGCCCTATAATCAGCATCTCACCCAAACTCTGCTTTTCCTTTAGGGATTTAGAGCTTCACATTGCTGTGTCATCAGGGATGTGTGTGCATGGCACTGGCTCACTTGCGCTCTCTTCTGACAGAGGTTGTGCTATCAACTCAGGTCCATGCTTTGCTTTTTTTTTCTTTTTTATTTTTACAGGGATTATATAAATTTGAAGAGCAAAGCAGGTTAGAGAGTGAGTGCCCGGCTCTGAACACGCACTCACGAACATCATGCATGCAGGTACTGGATGACACAAGACTTGGGAGCACGAGACCCTTTATAAAGAGATGCTCTGATTCTTTGGGATCATTCTGAAATGCAAATTTGCCCCATAATTTATTCAAATGTAAAAGTAAAAGAATTACAGTACAGAAACCAAATCTTCCACTTGGTAATTTCTCACAGCAGCACCTGAGAGAGTTTATCCTTGTTCCAGTTTTAGTAAAAGAACTGAAACATTTTAACCCAGCTCTGTGGCTGCACTGCAACAAATTCTTGGTTCCTAAAGAAGTCCTAGGAAGATTATTTGTTAGACGGCTCCAAAATATTGTTCGCTTCATAGGACATCAGGGGAAAGGAGACCTGTCTTGTTTCAGCTATGGCTTCCCTCTTATTATTATGCAGCATGTCCTAGTCTAATGAATGATGCTCATTTAAAATATGACATCCATACAACTGGAAAGGGTATAACAAGAAAAGTTTTTAATATTTCCTTGGGAGAGGAGGCTGCTGCTTGAGGGCTGAGGAGCTGATTTGATATTTCCATCAATAATATGTCCTATAGTTGCTAATGTGTCTCTTTATGGCATTTGTCTTTGATCTTCTACTCTTTCAATTCATGCCATCATGTGTGAGTCACCCATAGGAAATGCTGTATAGAAATGTCAGGGGAGTGAACCAGTTAGATGCCAGTAGAGATGGAGGTAACCATTACAATTCTTGGCAGCAGTAATGGGAAAGGAAGTGAGGCACAGTTTTATAGGATAAAAGGGGAAAGGAAAGGTGACAGCAAGCCAGAGGGAAGAGATGGAAGAGGACCCAGACTGAAAGTTCAGAGAAGCCCCCAAACCTTTCATAAAGTTACGTATCCTTGTTTGCCGTGCAGAAACTAGTCTTGAGTGCCATATGTGCTTGACTAGACTTGCACGACCGTGCTCTGCAGTGCATGAGCCATCACTTTGCATTGTTGTTTTTGATGTGGTGCTTTGATACAATTCAGCTTGTGGGAATGTCAGCTATACAGCTGCAGTTTAAACCTCATCTTGACCAGGTGCCCTAGGAACAAAATGGCAAGCAAGAACAAGCTCTCTAAAGTGGCTACAGGGGATTATTCTGAACAGCACAGAGGTGCGAAGCTGTCCAGTGTCTGGAGAACAGTGGCTTAGGTCCATAAAAGCATTTGGTGTTGGCAGTGACACGTGGTTGTGCACATCCAGTATTTAGGTGCCACGGATTCTCAAAATCTTTGCTCAGCTGCCATGCAACTCAAAGGTGCCTAAACTTGCTAGGGTCTCCGATTTTGAGAGCAGTCTCCCAGCTAAAGTTCCTGCAGAGCCCTAGTTGGTGAATATTTTCGGACTTTGCTCACTACTAGATCAGGCCTGCCACTAAATGGTGGTACAGGTGCCCTCTGTTAACCAATATGGTAGTAACTAGAGCACTCATTTGGGATATGGAAAGCCAAGCTGGGGAACATGAGCCCACATGCTCCAACTTCCCAGAGGGCCACCTTAACCACCAGGCTACAAGATACCTTGGGTGGGTTGCCTGCAGTTCTCTTTTTTTCATAGAACAGCCTTTATTGGGTGGAGAGTGAGTGGATGCCATATTTTAGTAGGACACTTGCCTGCAAGTTGCAGTCCCCACTCCAATAAATATTTAAGCATGTTGTAAAAAATGAAGCAGTTCAGCAGCTGAGCTGAGAGAGATGCTTCCTTTCAGCCTGGAGTTAGATGCCTGGACCCCTGGAAGGAAGAAGGCTTAAGCCTCGTTCCTCTCCCTGGCATTTCTTACTGGCTTGCTAAGGGTACATAATGCTCTGCATTTATTGCATAGGGAGCCTCAGCACCCAACTGAGAGTTGCTGGTTTCACCAGCTGATAACGCACCTGAAAGTTACGGCATTGCACATTGTAAACCCTTCTGCAGATCAGACGCTGATTCCTGCACACCTTCTCAGCCACATTGCTGTGGCACAGCTGCCTTGGACTTCAAAGCCACCATCTTTTGCATGTGTTGAATTGAGTGGATGCAGCACGCGGGGAGCAGCAAAAGTTGCATGCTGCCGGATGCTGACTCCTACTGATTTGGGAGTGGTGCTGATTGTGAGTGCAGGCAGTCATGGCTGCTCCCGGGTGGGGGAAGTGGTGACTAGTGCCCAGGGACTGGAATAGATGCTTCATAGACATGAGAGTGCCCGGTACATGAGCAGAGACCCGCATCCTTGGCAAAAGGCTGAGGGACACTAGGGCAGTGCAGGGCCTGCTTTTGTAGAATGCAACCTGGGGTTTGCTTAAAAACACCAAAATGACACAAACTTCTCTTTCATTTTTGTCTGTCCAGATGGATGATGTTATTGACGACATAATTAGTTTGGAATCGAGTTACAATGAAGAAATCCTTGGCCTGATGGATCCGGCCCTGCAAATGGCGAATACGGTACTATAGCCGTTCCTCTTCATTTTCCAGTTGTACAGATTGCCAGTCTAGTTCTATTAAATTCAGGAACAAGGCTTGCTTCTAGGGGTTATAAGATGATGGTGATGGTTGGTTGATTCAGTTACTCACTGGGTGAAAAGAAGGAAGACGATTCTCTTACAGTGGTAACGAGATATAATTGGTAACTGCTGTTAGTGTTTTACATTGCATTGTATGCAACTAATCCAGAGACCAGCCTGTAGATGCAGCTGAGACCATGGAAGCATCCTCTTCATATCTTACTGCTCACCAGGCATAAGGGAACTGGAGAGCTGGGCATCCTGCTTCAAAGGACTGAATTTGGTGACTTAGTCTGCTGCATGCTCTGAATTTGGGACAGACCTAGATGATATTCTCCCTCTTCCCCCTTGGGTTATCATTATTCTGTGGTTTGCCAGTCTCATCCAAGATGAGAGCCTTCTTGCAGCTAGTAGCCCGCTTCCTGAATTATAGTACCTGAGGTCTGCAGAGTGGGCCTGTTTTGGAGGTTGGCTTTGCACTGCACAGTAGAGGAGAGCTCCGAGGTCTCAGCCACTCAAAACTTAAGTGTATTCTTTGCTTTGTGCACTGGAAGTAGCCCCACTGAATTCAGTGCTCAGACTTGAGTAAATGCACAGATCTGCAGAATCTGGGGCCATAAGGAGTTTATAAAAATAGCTGAATGCTAAGATAAAGGCTTACAAAGTGTCACAACAGCAGTAATCGGAACTTACTCAGCACCACTGAGTTAAAGATGTGAGCGAGCTTGTAACTGCTTTCTCAGTAAACTCAGTATGAAAAATTAAAAAGGTGTGGGTAGCACTGTTCAGCATGATACAAGAGTGTTAAGGAATTGTCTTGATAAATCTCGTTGGAATATTACCCTGGTGTTGTCTGTACAAATCTATTTTGCTTTTACACACCTACGTAAATGAGTACGAGTAATTTAATGGATTAGTCATTAAGAAACACAATGCCAAAAAATTTGTGGAAATCTTTTCTCTGCCACCACCACCTTGGGTTTTTTGTGTGTTGTTTTTTTTTTTAAATGTTGGAACAGGAACTAGGTATGTAGAATGTTTCCCTATGCAGTAGATATTAGATCAAGTGGAAAAAATGTACCTGGTTTAAACAGGTCTGCCTTATGCAAGTCTAATTTACTAATTACTCCATGCTTGAATGCTCATGGAAGAGTTTGGGGCTCCCTCTAGTGGTTGCATCTTGACTTTTGGGATTCCCTTTTTGGTGGTGGTGGGAAAGCATAATCAGTTTTTCTTGCAACAAACAGGATCAGAACATGTAAGGATTGTAGTAATTAAATGTTCTAGCATCCCAATATTCTTTTGTAGTTTAGAGACCACATTTCTTAGGCTATTTTTTCTCCCCCTTTTTTTCCACCAAGTTTTACATTATCTGTATAGTTTCCTTTCCACGGGATCAGGCCTTCTGAGAGAGACCTGCAGAATTGTCTCGGTGTAGTAATTCTTTGTACATCTCTAGGCTTGAGTGACTTTCCCTAATGTTAATTGTAAGGTGGAGAAAAGAACAGATTTTTTTTAGCCGATGTTGGCTTTGTGCTTCTGTATGAAGTCTCTCATATGGATCATGGGAAATGATCTTCTGTTTCTTTCTTTGTTGTTTTTTCTGTTTCAGTTACCTGTATCTGGCAATTTGATTGACCTGTACGGTAACCATACAAGTTTGCCTCCTCCAGGGCTAAACATCAGCAACTCTTGTCCTGCTAATCTTCCCAATATAAAAAGGGAGCTGACAGGTAAATAACTCTTGAAAGAATAATGTCAAGGCTTTGTTTTATTAAGATGACTTCTAAAAATAGGTTAGAAAAAAGAAAATGTACAGATGCCTTGCTCTTTAGTTTGCCCTGCACTTTTAATAAGCCTGTTTAGCTTACAGAATACAGCATGCAATGTGTGGTCTTTACACAGAGCAAAATGATTCAATTGTCAGGTCTGTAATCAGCTTCTGCTGTGATAGACAAGGACATTATTCTAACCAGGGTTGCCAACCCAAGAATTTTTTTTTTTACTGGCAACCAGTTGTTGGTTGTTTTTTTTTTTTTTCCCTGACTCTTTTACCTCATGTAAATGTGACTCTCTTCTGCCAGGCTCTGGATGACAACAAGGCCAGATTCAAATTTAGGGATTGAATATCAACTTTTTAATATAGTTTTACTTTGTCTGCAGCATTGGCTTTACACCCTGCTGCCTCCACCCTTGGGGACCCCTGTTC